TTTTTAATCTTCTTCCTCACAACTCCCCCTTTTTAGAACCTCTTATATATATGTACAGGCTTGACGGCAGCCTCGGAAGGGTGTAGATCGAGCTACTGTCTTCTCCGAATACAACGTACCCTCATTATGAATGTATATAATCTACCTTCCTGGCTTGATACAATCATGATAAGGGTATTTTTTGTTGGGGGAAAGACGGGGTTTCAGGCTCACCAGCAGGCTCTGGGGAAATGTGCGCTTAGAGCTTAAAGGGATCGAGATACCGGCTTAAAAGGGGTCGAGATACTGGCTGAAAGGGGTCGAGATACCGACCTCTGTGCTTTACGCTAGGTTCGAACAAGAGGCTCCTCGGAGAAGAGGCTCGGATGTCAGCTTCTCCAGGGGCGTGGTCCCACTAGCTAAGAGGATCGGATCGGATCGGATGCCTGAATCTGGACGAGTTTATGGAGATGTGCAGGAAATCGAGATTGAACTGCTTTTCTGCCTCTGTGCTTAAAACTCGTCCAGATTCAGGAGCTCGATCCTATCCTTTTTGCTAAGTGGGACCTCTGCCCAGAGGAGGAAGAGAAGGCAGTCCTTGGGGATCGGATCCAATGCCTGAATCTGGACGAGTTTATGGAGATGTGCAGGAAATCGAGATTGAACTGCTTTTCTGCCTCTGTGCTTAAAACACATCCAGATTCAGGAGCTCGATCCTATCCTTTTTGCTAAGTGGGACCTCGGCCCAGAGGAGGAAGAGAAGGCAGTCCTTGGGGAATTGCAGAAGAGAAGGCAGTCCTTGGGGACTTTTCTGCAATTCGTAGGAGTTTCAGGGATAGCTTCAATTTCCACGGCCGAGGTCCCACTAGCAAAGAGGATTGGATTAAACTCCTGCCTGAATCCGGACGTGTTTCAACCAGAGATGCAGAAAAGCAGTTCAAGCTCGATATTCTGCACCTTTGCACAAACGCGTCCAGATTCTGGCGTTCACAATCCAATCCCCTTCGCTACTGGGACCTCGGCCCAGGGGCTCTTGAAATGCGTCCTTTTCTGGCAACTGGGGCATTCAATTATTGATTAAAATTTATTCGAAATCCGGGGGAAAAAAATTCCGTGTTGGGTTTTTAAAATTTCCTTTTTGGGGACATCGTTAAAATTGGAACGATACACTGAAAGAAGATCACCAGGGGCCAAGTCGCACTAGCAGCGTTGAGCTACCTCAACGCCTGAATCTGGATGCTTTTTTCGGAGATGTGCAGAAATGGTGTTGAGTTTCCTGAACTGCACGTCTCCACAAACACGTCCGGATTCAGGCCTTGAGGTAGCTCAACGCTGCGAGTGGGACATGGCCGCAGTAGCATGGCCCCTGTGCAAGGATGACGCGCGTAAATCGAGAAATGGTAGAAAAACGAAAAAAAAAGCAAGGAA